TGGGATGCGGATTCGAACCCGCGACCCTCAGATTGTGAGTCGAGCGCCTTATCCACCTGGCCATGCCCTGTCTCCTCAGTAGTTGCTCTTATTTCTTGTGTGTGCTGGAACCCACACAGTAAAAACCTACATTCTATTTTACAGTAGAGCTAGCTAGTATTGTTTTAAAATACTGTTATAGCAAGTTAGTGATTTTTTTTGTACATATGCAATTAAGGGAGAAGGTTTTAGTGAGTTGGGGGTTTACGAAAAAGTCTTGCTCGAGGGCCTTTCAGACCTCTGTTACGCCACTGTTTCCATTTGTATTTCTTGCACACCGCTTCCTCGTTGAGTGATTTATTTTCTTTTTTGTAGACAAGACAGTATAATAAAAAGGATTTTTGTTTGTTTTAGTGTTATAAGTTCGTAAAGTTACAGCTGATCCGTTGGGATGCTCAAAAAATGAAACTGGCCTTTAGCCTAGACCAAGTGCAGAATATGTATATAAATATATAATGGAAATAAAAATATTACATAGGTACATTTAAAAATTGATTGTATCAACTTATTCTATGCCCGCAACGAGGTCGTGAAATAACTAAGTGGGAGGAGAGATTTTGTTTGTTTGTTATGGATTTCGCGCAAAGCTACACGAGGGCTATCTGCGCTAGCCGTCCCTAACTTAGCAGTGTAAGGCTAGAGGGAAGGCAGCTAGTCATAACCACCCACCGCCAACTCTTCGGCTACTCTTTTAACGTTATAAAGTTACGGTCAATCCCACTATTCGTTGGCCCCTACGGCTGAAAGGGTGAGCATGTTTTGTGTGACGGGGATTCGAACCCGCGACCCGCAGTTTACGAGTCGAGCGCCCTAACCATGCCGGGCCATAAAACATTTAACTCACTAGAACGAAATAATCATGTTATACACATAAGCATAATGAAAGCAATCTAACATAAGGCCATATTCAACTTTTTACTCAGTTTAGACTGAAAATTTGGCATTTGTTTCAGTTTTGTGATAAATATCTTGGAATTACGAAGTTACTTACATATTAGCTTTTCTTCGAGATTACCTCGTGACGTCACAGAAAGTGCTTTGATGAACTCTTCGAACTCTATTGAGCCATCCTGAGTTGAAAAAATCTTATGCTAATTAAAATCAGAAGTACAGTCTTATACGATTTAAATTAACAAAAGTAATTATTCAGAACAAAGATACCATATTAGTTCATCAGTATATTAAAATTACAATTAAAACAAAATGACTGTATCAGAGCCGTAACGAGGAAATACAAATCATTTAATACAGATGCAACACTGAGAAATTACAACCAATATTTTACTTTGTTTATATTTTTCCTAAAAAATAAAGGTTTATCATATTTTATTTACATAAATGTGCTCAACCTCGCTATACTGTTATATTAAAACGATTTTGGAACATCACGACGTCGTTATAGTCTATGGTGCACGTCCGATTATGCTCTGAAAACCATGTATACAGCCACGAAGCGTAGTTACCCTCGCCCCCGGAGGGGTTTGTTCGTTTGAAGTTAAGCACAAAGCTACGCAATGGGCTATCTGTACTCTGCCCACCACGGGTATCGAAATATTATCGAAACCCGGTTTCTAGCGTTGTAAGCCCGCAGACATACCGCTGTGCCACTGGGGGGAGCGAGGGTATTGCGAGGGTCAGTGTGTGTGTGTGTGTTCCCGCGCGCATATCTCGAAAACTAATAGCCCGATATTAACGAACATTTTACACAGGATGGGAAGTCGGAATTGGACAGTTCTCTCCAAATTTGGTCCGAATCCGGATTCTGGATCACTTTGAAGCATTTTATATATATATATTGGAGGGATAGAAAATTTTCGCGGTTTTGGGTTAATAACTCTGTAACGTGTGATCAGGTTTGCACTACATTTCATGAGCACATTAAGGTTCAAACTCCTAATCACACTACAAAAATGATCCGGATTGTTGATCATTCTGGATCTGAAAAGGATTTTTCGAGTTTTCGAAGTGAAATTTGACGTTACCCAATATAAACGCATGCAATCTCGAAAAGGAGTGGCAGGTCGAGGGTATGCAGTCTCTTTGATTACTCTTTCTTACATTGTAAACGACCCATAAAGATGTCATCCCAATGCACACCATCCCTCCTTGCATGCTTTTAATAATCGGTCTAATATACAAGAATGGCAGCTTCTCAGTGACCGTTTCAATGATTCGATTGCACAAAAATGCATAGGTGCTGTGTCCAGTGACTTGACCAGTATGTCTTCATATGGAGTATCGTGAATACCTGTTTTATTCTACAGCTGCTTGCGGTATGCAAAGGCTGAAAAGAAATGTTATGGACGTAACTTGTGTAACTTTTCTAGACGGAGATCCTTCTTGATTATGTTGCGTACTTTTGCCTATAGCACGTGGATGGCTTTTAAAACTGACCTTCTTACTTCTTACAAGATTCTACACTTTGCTTAGGGATATGCACGTCTGGAAATTCTAAAACCCGATCTGAACACTTCTTCATGATACAAGTGTATGAATATTTGCCTCGAAAAGGGTTGTTACATACCTTTCCCGAAAGCGATCAATTTTAGGCGCCATCACACTACCTACGAAATGCCAAACAGTGGGCTATTTGTGCCATGTCCACAACTGGTATCGTAGCACGATTTTTTAGCATTATAAACCTTCATTTACCGCTGATCGACTGGGGGCCAATAGGAAAATGAGCAACACTTTTAATAATTAAACACAGGGGTATCGTTGATATCGTCTTTTTCTAGCTATTGCAAGTTATATAAGACTAATTATATAGTTTAGCATGATCTCATTAGCTTATTTAGATCTAGTATAATAAAACCACAGTCAATGTGAAAAAAAAGGCCAAGTTATAAAAAAAGCCCAGCCATATATAATGGAGATACACAGATAAGCCCAGTTAGAAGAAACAACAGGAGCCACTTTGGTCCACACAATTTTTATTATGATTACGCCTATTTACGTTTTTTTTTCTCATTTTTGTTTTGCGAGTAAGTGCTCTTTTTTAAAACATGAATAAATAGTTGAACACAAACGCTACATAAGTGTAATGTGGAAGTTTGGATATCCTAACGTAAGATACGATATTTTAAATGTCACAGCACTTGTATTGAGAAAACACGGCAGAAAAATAAGCATTTTTTTACCTTTGACAATTTATTTCTCTTGCTGTATGACAGATATTGATTGTTTTTTTTTACATTTGACCTAAGATTGTTTCAACCTGCAAATTAATGTTGGGGCGGTTTTTCTGGCTGATGTAGTTTAGGTGTGGTAATACCCCAAAAACATCAAACTATCTGTGCTATATATATACAGTTACTGATATTTCTCGGCAAACTTTTTATACAACTACGCTGTTGGAACTGCCTATCTTCTCGTTTAATGTCTGTTAACTATATTGGTTATTCTACTTTTCATTATTAATAGCTCATTATTTATGTACATACACATGCCTTATACTGTTCAGTTGTTTCTTGGGATTAAGCTATACTCGTTTATATATTTATTATTTCCGGTTGCCTTCTCCGTGACTCGATCATGTGGGCAGTAGGCTTAACCTTTGGCGCGCTACTCGTGCAAGTTCAGCACTTCTATCTATATATTGCAATACCTTGGTTAATTTAATTATGGGATTTACATTTTACAATTTACGTTAATCTTTGGTTTACTTTCTGGATCTTCCTGTTACCAACTCTACAGCTAAGTAGCAGCTTGTGTATGTAGAAAGCCATTTATTTGCTGTCAAATTGTCGAGTCAAGAAGTTGGTCACTTGCTCTTGTTTGGAAGAGGAGAATATTCTCGAAAATCAATGATAACACATCGGTATAATTCTCCGTAGAGGCGGCTAGTGTTCTTTTCCGTATGAGTTTTAACCTTTCTCGTATCTTTGTTGACACAATGTTGCTTTATGTGCAAATATATCTACTTATAAGTAAGTATATTCGACTTTCGTGTGTTGGTAAGACGTCTGGATTTCAGGAAAAAACAAATGTTTTTGTGTTTTACAAGAAATTAACAGTCACCCATTGTTCTTTAAAGTTAGTTAGTTTAGTTGAGATTATTCGATATTATCTTTGAAATTATTTTGAATATTGTTATTTAACTTCTATTATTAATGCTTACTTTGCATTGATTGCATAGTTATACATCTTCAATAGCAATGGTGGCCAACTAATGACAGAATGTATTCTAATTATTACATGTTTTCACTTTGTTGTTTATTGTATTGTTCCTCATAGAAACTTAATTTCATTAATGTTTAAGTTATTTTTTTTAGTTCTGATCTAGCTTACTTAATTAAGACGAGGGATCCATTGTGGCATGAATTGAATGTGCGTTATTTGGACGGTGCGTCTCACTAGCAGTGCATAACAATTATGAAAACTGTAGATATTGTTAATGGATAGTTTTTAAATATCTACATAATAGTGGGTGTTATATTTCTTAGTTACTACTTTAAATTTTATTCCTATATGGCAATCAAAAATATGAATCAAAATGGTCATATTTTGTTAACCAGATAATGAAAAGTTACTGAAATAAAGTTATGAAATCAACGGTATTATTCTTTCATAACATTATAACAAAACGCTGACAGTGTATTTCTGACAAAAGAAAGAAAAATTAACAAAAACCTACCTTATTTTCGTCGAATACCCTAAATACCAGAGAGGCAAATTTGGAAGGGTCGCCATGAGGAAAAAACTGTTTGTAGATCTTCAAAAAACCCTTAAAAATAAATTTATCTTGTTCAAAATATCATCTATATCCAAGAATGATAAAATAGTATTCTAACAATCGAAATGTCGTAGTAAAATAAATTGACATGATCTTTTAGCCCTTACAACTAAAATTAACATTACATCACTATGAATTAGTTTTAGTTCAAGACAATGACTTTTACGAGAAGAAATATATTTTGTAAAAAACAAAACGACTCAATATTTATTTAATAGCCAACAGGTTTAACCAGAAATATAAAATTTCGTATAAGTTACCAGCAGTCACAGACTCAATATATAAACATAAAAGCTCATGTAGTTTACCAGCAGTCACATACTCAGTTAATAAATAGAAATATAAAAGTTTGTGTAGTTTATCAGCAGTATCAAACTCAGTATATAAATGGAAATATAAAAATTCGTGTGGTTTACCAGCAGTCACAAACTCGGTATATATATATATATATATATATAATTAGTGTGGTTTACCTAGCAGTCACAACTACGTATATATATATATATATATATATATATAAATTCGTGTGGTTTACCAGCAGTCACAAACTCGGTATATAAATAGAAAGTCACTTCTGATGCTTGATAAAGAATCAGCGCTATTTTAAAATTTATCTGAAGAACAATGCTTCTCATACCACAGAACAATGTAATGGCCACAGATTTACACAGAACGTGAAACTAACACTTCCTTAGCTCGACTTTGTGAAACCAAAGCATGACATTTTTTTTTGGGGGGGGGGGTACAAGTAAAAGATCTTAAAAAAGCTGCAATAGTAACAAATATTCTGATATGGATTTTGTTTTATTTTTTGAGCTACGAACCTGTTCGGTTAGAAGTCCATCAGGGCAGTCTTTCAAGAAACCTTTGTACCTGCCAAAAGAGGTTTATTTGATTACTTTAGTTATGGAAAGACAATTATAACATCATACAACACGAATCACCAATGACTGATAATCTGGGAAATATTTAATGTATGGTGAATTTTTTAAATTGCTAGTTATTATTACTTTCTTTCACATTATAAAGGTGTGGTTATAATAATCCTCTATTGTTTTTCCATTATTTAGTTAAGGTTGCTGGAAAAACATTTTAAAATAGGAAGAACTAGCTTAAAACTAAAGTTGTGCTGTTGTATTTTGCATATTCGGCCTTTTATATTAGTTAGGTATTTTCTATCGGTTTCATTCGTAAAGTAAATTAGAGTTCGACATCAGAATGAAACATTTTAGGTGTGTGTTGTTATAGCAAAACCACTTTGGGATATCTGCTGCGTTCACTGTGGGGAATCGAACCCCTGGGTTTAAGAGCTGTAAATCCGAAGACTTACCGCTGTCCCATCGGGGGGAAATGAAAAATTACACTTCAAATAATGATAGCGGGTAATGTTGTTTACAGACTACGAATGTGAGTGATGTGTGACCCTCCTATTCAGAAATACAAAACAGAAGAAAACGTGGTTTGTTGGAGATACAGGGATAAAATTCATTTTTTTACCTTTGTAATTAACGACTAAAATGCTCTTAAAGTTCACACTTTCATAACTAGCTACAACATATTTAGGTGCACGTTTCTAAATTTTCGTGCAGTTGTTCCATTTACGCCCGGTAAGGCCAGGTGGTTAGGGCGCTCGACTCGCAATCTGCGGGTCGCGGGTTCGAATCCCCGTCCCACCAAACATGCTCGCCCTTTCAGCCGTGGGGGCGTTATAATGTGACGGTCAATCCCACTATTTGTTGGTAAAAAAATAGTCCAAGAGTTGGTGGTGGGTGGTGATGACTAGCTGCCTTCCCTCTAGTCTTACACTGCTAAATTAGGGACGGCTAGCGCAGATAGCCCTCATGTAGCTTTGCACGAAATTCATAACAAACTTGTTCCGTATACAGTATGAAATTTTTGCTACCTGAATGTCAAAAGGTCATAAAGATGTACTAACACTCTTACTCTGGTTAAGCTTGCGAATGCAAACGGCTAGATACTCATATCAATTTGTCCATGTGTCTGTTCACCCTGAGGAATATACGAGTCCATCTCATGGGGTGGCTTAGATACTTATAGAAGTCGCAAAGATTTAAGGTTTTCTTCCATATAAATGATGTTTGGAGCAGTCAGTGCCGTATGTAGTATTGGATTCTGATATACCACACACTAAAGTTTAGTTCAATTTTCGGAGGTAAATCAGAATTTCCTTTCTCCTTGCTCTGTGCACAAGTGACATATAATTCTTCTTGTCTTTGCCCGTGTGAATGTTTTTAAAGACTACTGTCAACTCAAGCAGCCAATGAACAAGAAGGTCGGCCAGTCTGGCAAATAGAAACATTACATAAAACAGATATTTGTTCTATTTATTTCCTTTCTTCTCAAAGTGCGAAATTGTTATTTTCACTATATATATTTCTTGAATTTCAGTTTTGTGGCTACTTTTGAACGTATTAATGAACCTGAACAGCACACGTTGAGATCTTGAAATGGCCTATCCTATATTTTGCTTGTCAATACTATTTTGGTCAGATATATACTACTACTATAGATGAAGTATGAAAACCTTATAAATAGTTCGAAACATCTTGTTATATAGCTTTATAGTAACTTTTTATAGTTTTAGAAATTTCAACAGTTTGATTTATATTTAATTTGACGTGCTTGTTTTGACTTCTCGACGGTAGGTGTCCACACGTAAACAGGAATCTAATTCTTCTGTTTCCAATCATGAATTTACTAAAGTGTTAACGCTTCCGGGAAGCGTATCGGCAGGTAGTCATGACATATAACCAATTATAAACAATAATGACGTTCCAAAAATCAAGACGTGCTTAATTTGACCATTCATACATCTTTAGGATTTGTTTTAACTACATTTATGACGTTTATCAATAAATTTAGAGGCGGTAATGTTGTATCACTAAACTAAGGCCTGTTATTTATAATTTAATATTAAAGTTTATACGTTAATGACGTCATATTCCAATAAATCTAATAAACCAAATAATCTAAAAATTACTGGACTGTGGACATTAATACTAAAAGGCGCAGTTCGTTTGGTAAATAAAAAAAACTGGATTGTGCTTGCTTCGCCATAGTTATAACTGTTAATGACTAAGCGATCAGTTTTGTCCGCAAGACGGCGTTACAGATCACAGCCTTTCTTCAAAGTCTTTTCACTTGTTTAATATACTTATAAAACACTAAATCGTTATGCACGAATCCAAAATGGAAAGACTGGATGATGCTTTATTTCTCATTTTACAAATAGGAATTAAAAAACAATTAAACCTGAAGAAAGAAAGAGATTATCGAGTCTATTCAAAGAAGAACTTAGAAAGAGATGAACTGAAAACGTAAAGTACAGTTTGATTTTTAAAGAAACCTTAATTCGAAAAACTCTTTAAAGCCTATTAAGCCTAATTTCATCTTTAAATCGTCCAAAAGCCATCTATTAACCATCCATAATTCTAAAAAGACTTGAAATAAACTTATAATGACAACTAAAACCGAGACATTTTAAAAGCAAATAAAATTAGTTTCATGTTTGTACAAAACTTGTACTTTTATTTGGTTTTAACAAACCGATGCCAAGATATACTAGCTTTACAACAAAAATATAAATAAAAAATGTTAGGCTTAAGCAATTCTGAGAGGTCGAGTCCCATTCAATGAATAATGTATTTTGTAAAGATATCCATATTTCAAGGCAGTTGTAAGAATGTGGAGATCTTGATCAGTTCAGTTGTTTCGATCTTGATTAGTCAAGGCTACATCAAACATTGTATTGACTATGTATCTTTGGTTTCCACAAATTTCTTCACTGCGTTGATACTAATCATAATAAAGTACAAGTGTCACAATTTAAATAATTTCTATTTTCACCCTTCCACAGCTAGAGAAAGATAAATCTTTCTTCAGCTGTAATCGGATAAGTTTTATGAAATTTTCGTGCAGGTGTTCTGTATGTATTTAGTGTGATTTCTGTAAACCTGATGTACAAAATTTCGTAAACTTGTATTACTCCTCTAGCTTAAACATAAATTACATATCACAAAGGCTGTCTATCGACACAGTTTCAATTAAGTAAGAAACGGCAAAGAATGTAAAGCAAGTCGAGATGGTTGATTCTAATGATAGTAATATTAATATAAAACTTTTCCTTATTTTTCCGCCTTAGGCAGTTGCCTATCTCGCCTACTCACTAAAGCTTGGCCTGTTTTTGCATCCTGCCGGCTGGAAGGAGGTCATACACATTTGGAACGGTGCCACAGAGACTGGTACAAGTTAGTATGAGTCAGGAGTTAAACCTTCATTGAATATGTATAATGATAATGATCATTGACGTGGGTAATTTGAGGATTGTGGGATGTCGCATTAGAACCTTAGTCTGATGTAGTAATGTGGTATGATTCTTCTTCTTGTTCTTATATTTGTCTTGTGCAGACGTAAGAATTTCTTCCTCTCCGTCCCACTAGCCAGATGTTTTTACGACAAACACTGAAGCCTGTCAATAATGCGTAAATAATGCAACATATTTATAAAATAAAAAAGATGATGATTTGTTCAATTGGGATTGCTTGTTTTTGCTTTGCTGCCGTGTCCGAAATTATTCTCTGTCTAACATTATCGGAACTATCTCTCAAAAAATATTGTATCTGAATACAAATAAGGAACAATCATTCCACAGAATACTTCTAGATTTGGAAACGAAATTAAAATAAACATTTTTAATATCAACCACATACACGTGTACTACGTCTAAATGTAAAATGTCTAAAATATTAAGTGAAGGATTACAACCATGTGAAATATTAAGGCGGAGGATTATAACTGATTTGAAAGATTGTAACGAAATGTATACAGCTGCTTAAAGTTCATTTTAGAATTAGGCTAATATTATTATGCACTAACTGTTTTCATTATGTTCTATTAAGAGATTTTTCATCAAACATTGGCTTTCTTTAAGGTAAAGCTATCTATCTGCTACTATCACAGTAGTCTATCTGCGCTACGTCCGTCGCGGGGAATAGAACCACGGATTTTAGCGTTGTAAGTCCGTAAACGTACCACTGAATCTGACAACCACTCTCTCTCCCCTAACTTGTATTTGTATCCATGCAATACACTTGAGATAACCGGTTATACATAAACAGACAAATGCGCAGAGGAATACATTCTATAAAAAAAAAACTGACTAGTCATGTCGCTGTGCAGGAATATTGTAGAGATATCCAAGGCGAACACTGACATTTGTGAGGTCAATAATAAATCTGTGCTTACTCTGCTTTCTCTCATTTAGTTTTCAGAAGTAGTTATGAAATATTTGTTTACAAAACTAACTGATAAAATGTAGCTGTTTACAAGTAGTTTTGATATTTGTATTTTTGCGCAAAGATTCACAAGGACTCTCTCGATTAGTCGTTTCTAATTTTGAACTGATAAGCTGGAGTGAAAGCAGCTACTTGGGCTACTTGTCTGATCGAATAGGAGGATTTTGCCATCACTCTTACAATGCATACACAGCTCCCAAAGCACGAGTCGTGAACCACGAACCCTCCGGTTCGCAGTTCGGGTGAACTACCTTCTAGGCTACGTTCTTCCCGAGGGTAGTGAAAACATCGAAATAGCACATCAAACATTCGAAAAGCACAATAGACGCAATATATTTTCCACCAATGCGAGGTAATAGCACGCCTTTCTCAAGGTCAGTAAACAATGTTTTACCGCTTACATTGTCTTAGAGAATGTGCAAGTAGAAATAAGGAAGCCATATGTTGCAATGACGGACCCACAATGTTTCTGTACCGTATTAATCTCTCCTGTAATACCTCATTCGCTAACTGATAATACATCATGTTTCCTTAATTGTACTCCAAGAACAAATTGTAGATTTCATTGACTTTAGAGCCCGTCTCTACCGAACTGCAACCAGTTCGAGCATGAAAGGTTATTACCTTAATTTCCTTTTCTACCAATCCCAACTAAAGTCTCCTTGACACCCAACTTTAATGTCTGTGAATAGAAATCTGTTATTAGATTTAGTAAGCTCTTAGATAAAAGGCTAGGCAGTGGCTGTAAATGAAAACTAATGGAGAGGCATTACTAACATAAATCACCAGTTTCTATGTACGATAAGGATAGGCAGGGTAGCTGTGGATGAAAACTGGTGGAGAGGCATTACTAACATAAAACATACGAAAGTCATAAGCTTCTCTCCAGTGATAGAGACCATCTTTTCAGCGTAGAAAATATATGTATGTACATTCAGTTTGTAACTTTCCAGCCATGGATGTTTCAATGTATGAACCTACAACTTTTAAAGATAGCATCAGTACAAGGTTTACTTGTATTTATCCACTTCTATCACATAGCAGTTCATAGATACGAAAGTGTTTATATCATAAACAGTTAAATAGTGTTGCACTGTGTGTATGATTCTACAACTTTTAAAGATAGCATCAGTACAAGGTTTACTTGTACTTATCCACTCCTATCACATAACAGTTCATAGATACGAAAGTGTTCATGTCATAAACAGTTAAATAGTGTTGCACTGTGTGTATGAATAAAGATTTTATCTAATTATACATTCGTGTGTTACTTGTATTTTCTTTTTTTGCTCCTAATTCATTTTAATACACTGCGATACATTTCCACAACCTGCATTTTGCATATTGTTATAGCTTTCTATAAGATTCTAATGTATATAAACTCCTCAACACTGCTTCTCCAACTCTAAGAAAAGCCAGATTAGCAAAATGTGGAGTAAGGCAGTTGTTCAGCAGCCGAGGGTAACAAGTGACCCATAATAATTACGTTTTGTTTCTATCTAATAAACTTCTTACAGTTTTTTTAAAGTATGAAAGTTTAGTATTTTACAAAAAAAAAATATTTTATAAAATATCGTTTTGATAATTAAAATTTCGATAGAAAAACAAACTGGGGTTTCAGAAGAAAGGGGAGCCCACAGAAATGAAGTTGTTTATTAGCCCATTGTGCTCTTCTGACCTTGGAAACAAGGCCAAGCTTCAATGTTTTTATTGATGTTTTGTATTATTGAACATACTAGTGTTAATATTAAACAAAATAGATCAGAAGTAGCTGAGAAACAGGACAGAACGATAGTTGTTTGATCGTATAAATCAGTTGTTTGTTGTTAACTACAAGTCATCAGTCTTACCGCTGAACAACTGAGGATCTTCGTCAGTTAAGATGTTAACCCTTTTTTTCTTGATATTCTTAGAACTTAAAATAACAGTTAAGTAATAAAATAGAATAGCTTATTTTTTGGTTTGTTTTTGAATTTCGCGCAGAGCTACACAAGGGCTATCTGCGCTAGCCGTCCCTAATTTTGCAGTGTAAGGCTAGAGGGAAGGCAGCTAGTCATCACTACCCACCGCCGACTCTTGGGCTACTCTTTTACCAACGAATAGTGGGATTGACCGTCACATTATAACGCCCCCATGGCTGAAAGGGTGAGCAATGTTTGGTGGGATGGAGATTCGAACCCGCGACCCTCAGATTGCGAGTCGAGCGCCCTAACCACCTGGCCATGCCGGGCCAAAATAGAATAGAACGAATACTATTTCAAAACTATTTTATTCTATTAAATCAATACTTTTGTACAGCTAGAAGATTAAAGTTTAAATTGAAATAAATATCTACTTACCACTGACGAATTTCCTTTTCTGTAACTGAAAAAAAAAAAAGAAATTCATTATTGACAGCAAATTTTAAACGAGAAAAATAAATTATTTCTATATTACATTTGTGAAGTTTTTGAAGCGATTGGTTTCTCAGCAGGAAATACTGAAAACCCTGTAGATCCTCCGTTGGGTCAGCAGCAAGTTCACAGGCTTCCAACGCTAAATTCCTGAGTTCAATTCTCCGTGGTGGACAGAGCTCATATAGCCCATTGTGTAGCTTTGCACTAAAACAACAGCAACAAACATCCCCGCGGTAAGCAAAGCTCTGATATTCTATTGTGCACCTGTGCGCTTAAAACAACAACAACAAAAACAAACATGTGTCCTTATTATTTACTTTCTGTGTTGAGATCAGTCAATGGTACTTAGTATCGCAAATATTATTGTTAAACGTTAAACAATGTCTTCTTTACCGATTTAAATAAGGGGTTATATCCTTTTAGCTTATTAATGTCTATACTGATAGTATATGTCACATTTTTACTTCCATTCATTATGGTCGTTTATATCGCTTTCACACGATATACACCATTGTTTCAAAGACAGATATCCATATATATATACGGAAAGGATTTGTTTGCATGGAAGGTGTACATTATCACGAAATATGATAACCGTAACAGCTGGCTAATGAATATATGACATATGCACAAGCAAATAATATGAGCGTTACTTGAAAATATATATCACATCATAGCTTAGGAAATTCTGTGTAAACAAACAAACAAAAAATACTAAAAAAACATTGTACAAGGAGCATGATAAAGCACTATAATTATGAAGTGTAGATAATGCAATAAATATTTACCTATTTATAGGACAGATTGAAAAGTTTGAAAGAGCTTATTGCTAGAACAAAATATTTGGAATAAAATTCCGTGAGTCATTGATAGCTTAGGAATGTATGGAATAAAACCATACGTGCCACAGACAGTCCTGTGGTAATATAGGGAGTAAAACCATGCGTGCCACAGACAGTCTCTTGATAATATAGGGAGTAAAACCATGCGTGCCACAGACAGTCCTATGAGTGTATATGGAGTAAAACCATGCGTGCCACAGACAGTCTTGTGGTAATATAGGGAGTAAAACCATGCGTGCCACAGACAGTCCTATGAGTGTATATGGAGTAAAACTATGCGTGCCACAGACAGTCCTATGATAATATAGGGAGTAAAAACTTGTGGGTCAGATAACCCTGTAGTCATACAGGAAATTAAAAATCTGTATGTTATAGATAACCTAGGTGTATATGGAGTAAAACCATGCGTGTCACAGACAGTCCCGTGATATAAGGAGTACAAATTTGTGTCACAGACAGTCCCGTGATATAGGGAGTAAAAACCTGTGTGACACAGTCAGTCCTGTGGTAATATAGGGAGTAAAATTATGCGTGTTACAGACAATTCTGTGATAATATAGATAATAAAACTATACCTGTCACAGATAGTCCTGTGGTAATATAGGGAGTAAAAACTTGTGTGTCACAGGTGGTTCTGTGATTATATGTGGAGTAAAATCTTGTGTGTCACAGACAGTTTTGTGGTCTTATAGGGAGTAAAACATTGCGTATCACAGATAGTTCTGGCCTCCCTGCCACAATGAATAAGTGAATGACTTTCACGTATTAAAGCTTCTTCTTTGTTAATACACATGATAAGCCTGGTTTGTTTCTTTTGAATTTCGCGCAAAGCTACACGAGGGCTATCTGCGCTAGCCGTCCTTAATTTAGCAGCGTAAGACTAGAGGGAAGGCAGCCAGTCATCACCACCCACCGCCAACTCTTGGGCTACTCTTTTACCAACGAATAGTGGGATTGACCGTCACATATAACACCCCCACGGCTAAAAGGGCGAGCATGTTTGGTGTGACGGGGAGATTCATCTATAACAGAGCCGGTAATAAAAAATATAATAGCTCTAAGAAGTGTAATTTAATAAAGTGTTGTATCAAATTAAGATAGTATGCTTCGCCCAGTTGAACAAATATTTTCCCACAAAATAAAAAAAATAAAAATGAAAACTACGAAAGGTTGTGATTGATAATTGAATTATGGATATTTGAATCTTAAACAGAAAATTTTTGAATCAATCATTTCCCGCTCAACATGCTTGATGAAAGGCTATTTAGGATGATATTAATAAAAACGTTTGGAGAATAATAATTTAGGACCAAGGTGGGACACGGTTGAACAATAGTTTAGGACCAAGGTGGAACACGGTTGGATAATAGTTTAGGATCAAGTTAGAGTATGATTGAATAATAGTTTAGGCTCAAGTTAGAACATGGTTTAATAATAGTTTAGGATCAAGGTGGAACGCGGTTGAACAAAAGTTTAGGACCAAGGTGGGACACGGTTGAACAATAGTTTAGGACCATGGTGGAACACGGTTGAACAAACGTTTAGGCTCAAGTTAGAACATGGTTGCATAATAGTTTAGGATCAAGGTGGAACACGGTTGAACAAAAGTTTAGGCTCGAGTTAGAACACAGTTGAACAATAGTTTAGGACCAAGGTGGAACACGGATGGATAATAGTTTAGGCTCAAGTTAGAACATAGTTGAATAATAGTTTAGGCTCAAGATAGAACACGGTTGAATACTGTATCTTCGTTTCCACGGTTCACTCTCGTAACTGACGAAACGAAACTAGAAGTACGCACGTGACGTAACTCGTTTCTTTTATTTACTTTAAAAAGTCCATTATAGATACCCTGGAGTACGAGTCTTCATCACAGATAAGCCTGTTAATTAATAAAAAAACTGCTTCCCGTTACCTACACAGATCGGATACAGAGTAATCGTTTTCGAGTCTCTAGAATCCAGAAATTCGAAGTGTGATAGATTGTTGTTAACCTTCACATTAAACCAAATACTACAAATAAACCTCCACTCTCGTTCTTATGTATGCGTGAATAAATTCAACACAAGATGGGGCAGATGTAATAGTTGTGACAACATTCTGCGAGTCTGTCCATTACTCCTGCTTAATTAATGAAATACTTCACTGATTCAACCTGAAAAGTCTTGGATATGTAGTTTCGGGTTGCTTTCCCATGGTTACTATTGTATTAAAACTTCGTCACTGATATGAAATGTAAGACCATAATTTCGAAAATAAAGAAATTAATTTTTTTTTCATAGAACATTTTACAGGATTCGTAATTACGTCATGTAAGATTATATAAACTTCACTAGATTTGTTGTAACACTGCCTAAAGGAATTATATAATGTATAATATTCATTCAGTGATATCACGCATCTGTGGTATGCAGATAGCATCAATTAATCCCTTCTATAACACAATATATGATTATATCTTTACCAGTATAATGTTTTCGAAAACTGTAGTATGGGTTTCTGCGTTTAGTTGCAAATTCTTGACGAAAAGAATGCGACCAACCTTGAACTGCACAATATTGACTATGGGAACAATCACACAATAGCAGGCTTGTTCCAAGATTTATCTATTCTTTTTTACGACTGGCTGGCTTACTTGCTCGATAATTCGTTAAGCTGGTCTTAATGAATCTTCTGGCGTGTTGGTTATACGAGAAGATAAAAAAATGGAATTTGTTTATTATTTTTTATTAACGGTGTTTGCCTTATGACGTGGAATTCGGAGAAGCCCAAGTAGGTTTTATTTTACTTGTTATTAAGCACAAAGCTACACAATGGGCTATCTGTAATATGACCACCACCGGCATCGAAATCCGATTTTTAGCATCATAAGCCCTCAAACTTGTCGCTGAGCCACCGAGGAGCAAAAACTGATATAGTTCGTTATTTTATTTTAGTGCAAACTTACACGATGTGCTATCTGCATTCTGCCTTCTGTGGGGATATGAATACCGGATTTTAGCATTTTAAATCCGGAAACTTACCGCTGACCTACTGGAGGAGACAAATTATTAAGTAAGGATCTTGAAGCTATTAACACTATGGGCTATCTGCGCTGTGCCCACCATGGGTATCAAACCCTGATTTTTAGCATGTAAGGCCCCAATTTTCCCGCTTAGCTATTCGAGGTGCCTAGGCAAGACTTAAAATTGTAATTAATTCTAAGCAAAATTAGTTCGTGGTTCAGATTTGTTTTCGTGATCATTCTTTGGAGTTACTCTCATTCTTGTCGTGGCGAACTTACAACGCTAGAAACCGGGTTTCGATACCATTGGTGGCAGAGCACAGATAGCCCCTTGTGTAGCTTTGTGTTTAATTACAAACAAACAAACAATTCTTGTCATGTTTGATCACACACAGTTCCTTTTGTCTCAAGCTGCAGACCATCTGATTGATAGTAATTGTAAAGTTCTTCCAGGCAGAATTTCAGTGCCATATTTATTGACTTCCATTAAAAACGTTTTCGTTTCTTGCAACACTTGCAACCAATACTTACTACTCTGCATTAAAACTGTTACAAACTTCCTGTAACCAATATTTACTACTCTGCATTAAAACTGTTTCAAACTTCCTGTAACCAATATTTACTACTCTGCATTAAAACTGTTACAAACTTCCTGTAACCAATATTTACTACTCTGCATTAAAACTGTTACAAACTTCCTGTAACCAATATTTACTACTCTGCATTAAAACTGTTATAAACTTCCTGTAACCAATATTTACTACTCTGCATTAAAACTGTTACAAACTTTCTGTAACCAATATTTACTACTTGGAATTAAAACTGTTACAAACTTTCTGTAACCAATATTTACTATTTGGAATTAAAACTGTAACAAACTTTCTGTAACCAATATTTACTACTCTGCATTAAAACTGTTACAAACTTCCTGTAACCAATATTTACTACTCTGCATTAAAACTGTTACAAACTTCCTGGTTTGCGGTTTTAACTTTTCTACTGCCACATTGTAATGACACTTTTCAGCAACAAAAATATTTTTGTTATTATTTGATCGAAACGAGAGAATAGAACACATGAAAATTCTAATGAAATCAATAAATTTCAACACACAATTTACCT